AGCGCCATTTTATCTGACTGGCGTTAATACAAATACGCAACACGATACACGGACTGTATAGGTACAATGATGTTAGTAGCATCATGTCACGTAAACGCTGACGTGTATATAATGCGGAAAACTATGGCGGATGATCTTATGAAACAAGACAGCACTCTTAGTAATTAGGGGTCGCATTGACAGTTTTCTTTTGACTTGCGTCACGTACAGCATATATACTTTTTCTTTTCACATTATAGCTGTACGCCTGTGGATGCGAAGTCACTATGATACATTTCAGCATCGCCCGAACAGAACTGGATATCTCGAGCAGAGCTTTTCTTCTCATTGATGTCTATCAAAATGCCACCTCATTACCGGGTAGCCTCGTTGAAGAATCTGAAACATCCTACGGCGATCCTTCTTTTTCGTTAGAAGCTGCTCCATCTAAGCTATGAAGTTTTCCCGCGCACCAATTCATCGCGTATCGAATGTCTTCCGTACCTTTTTGTAATTTCGCTCCAGTTGAGAGAGGAGGAAGTCAGAGAGTGTTAAGAGAAGATGTATAGAGACTTCGTCTGCTCCGTTCGAAACCCTTCTGGACGAGGCGAATATACACCCATAATATAAAGGCTTGCTTCAATCATTGTAGAACAATCATGTTGGAGTACACGAGGAGAGATATAAACAGACAATTATACACGAACACGCAGGTAAGCTATGCCTAATGCCTAAAGGAAACACCTATTGTGACACGACGAACCTATAGTTGAAGCGTCACCACATCGGTCGAAATACAGACAACACATGGTGGTAGTGTTTATGTATGATGGAAAATGAAACAGCAGAAGCTAATTAGGGTAACGAAAAGACATCGATTTGTCCAGCGAGGACGGTATCGAGCAAAAACAGTTTGCAAATGAATACCCCAGCTGAATATGATACTGTGAAGTCATTGTTTGTTTACCGGAGGCACAAGCGCGTTTTGTTATAGAAAACATTTTCACGTGCTGACGCTAGTTTTCGCTACTTTATTCTAATAGTCAAACTGTAAGCACGGACTGCATACAACTGTTATGTCAAGCAATATTTGCTATCCTTCGTTTCGTATTGCATTATACGTAATAGACTCCTTTTCTGGTCATTTTCTGTTTCTATATATTTAGAACATGAGGTAAACGACTGGTCATTTAAGAAAATAGTTATATGTAGCCCACAAACGTTTCGCCAGGTAGACTTCTAAATTGTTTAAGAGCAGCACCTTACGTGACAAGCAAAGATAAACAGACAACTTTGTCGGGTTCTCTTAGTATTGGTGAAATGCTAACAAGGCTGTAAGACATGACTTGCGAAGCTGGTTATCAATAATGAAAGACTCAGAAAATAAATATTTTCATTATAGAGTAGATGTTTATGTTAAACCGAAATCACTTCGACATGCAGCTATGAATTGAAGTATTGTATGTGCGTGGATACAGACCTCTTGCAGATATGTGGGGCATACTGTGAATGTTTTGTTATTCAACTGACGACTTTAAGGCCTCCATGTGCTGAAGGGTGGTGGTATATTGGAACAAAAATTAAGATGGTATACTCTGTCGCAAATGGTCCTATTTTCTGTTCTTCGGGGTAAGAGGTTTCTGTTCGTCCTAAAAAAGATGAAGTTCATTATGGCGGAAGGATTATAGCTAGGCATGTGAACCTGTTTAGGAACAAGAGCTTACGACCAGATTTGAAATGTAAGCTGCATTACTATATATTACGAACGTAACTGAAAGCTGGCTCGGTTATTGCCGCTATTAAAAATGCATTTAAAAATATTGGTAGAGAATGTCTTCATTTGGGTTTGTAAGCGATTTACGCCCCGAATCGAATCTACGGTCGAAACGAACGGCCGGCCAATTGAATAAATAAGTCCATTAAAGATATCCCTGCCAACGCATGCAAAAATTCACCTAAGTGCAATTTTATATATTAAATAGAAATTAAATAATTTCTACAATCGATTGTTGTTTTTATGCACAGCTAAAACGCTTTACTATTAATATATGATCAAAAATATAATAATTATAATTATTATATGTAATCTATACAAACTGTTGTCCCATTCATGCTAACTGTACTATGAAACAAACCGTCTAGATACTTCGATTCCGTTGAGCAATAACAAAATCCAAACATCAAGATACTTTCTTTTCTTTCCAGTACTAAAAACTGTATTCAGAGCTCCTTCTTAGCATTTGGCAAAGTGGCAAATACGCAAACGAATTGGAAAATAGCTGCGGTGATCGCCCGGGTATTTCAGCGGAAACGAATAGCGGTGCTGATACTATACAGAGAGCGAGACTTCTATATGTACAACAGTCAAAACTTATGTATGTGTATGTAAGTTCACCTACATGGGTGTTTTCTCATGGCGTCTTCGTGGCGTATATAAGCGCCATATTCAAACACGTCTCTCCGTGATCCACTTCCTAATATTCCGGTAATTATCTGCTGTTATAGGGTCAGCTCGATGTTAATTACCGTTCTACCTATGAGTTTGAATATATATTACCTATAAAACGCATTTAAGTAAGATAACTATTGCTAAACGTTGTCTTCGTTATTAGAAGCTGATTTACTACCTGGTAATTTTTACTCTTATATAGAACAATTAGTGATAATTGTTCGGCTTACTCTATCGGTCGTATAACATGTATACTCACAAATAGAAGCGGCGCATCTATGTTTAATGGTAATTGAATTTTAGGTGAAGCCTATGAAGAAAATGAAGTTGAATTTGCTCTGTTGACAGGCATAGTGAGAGTCAGTAGAGGGTTTGACAAAACGTAATCAGGGCTAAATTCCTATGGGCTATGTTCTGAACCTGTACATATCACATCTGCAAAAGGCAAGCTGTTATGTTGAAATCTTTGCTGTCATTCAACGTACAAGCTAAAATGATTAACTACGTATTTGTGTTTGAACGAAACGTTTCTATATTATCGATACATGCATACTAAAATGACCACATGGTGTATTTGTATAGTGAAGGCTAATTTTTTTGGGTAACGAAAAAAAGAAACATTGAAGTAGAGTGAAGTCAAGAAAGATTCGTCTTTGACCTTTGAATTTTTCGTCTGTTCTCGAAAAGTTCTTTCCACTCACGCGATCGTCGTTCAGACAAGCTTATTTTGTATTTACGAAGAAGCAATCAACCTCACTTTTGGTTTTTTAGGATTTTGCGGTAGATGCTCCGAATGACCGCACGCTGTCGCTTCTATTTGCTTCGTCTTTCCACAAAGTCATGGGAGAGGGCAGACCACTCGTACTAGCACAGACGCACTGTAACATACGCCTCAAGTCAATTTGTCCGTAAGTTATTGGTTTGTATGTTTCCTCATGCTACGTTTGGGAATCAGGACAGCAGGAATTGGTCGAGGGTAGCTACACGATAGACGACGATATTAGAGCAAACAGACCAACATCGCTGCACGGAGACGCCTCTGCCGAATCGCGTCAAGTTTGACTTTTCTTAGGTTGTATTAGTCCCGTAGCCGTTAAACAAGCTATCTCGCCATCGGTATCAGTCCAACAGCTGTACAGAAACGATTATGTATTAAGGGATATTTGCAGGTTAGCGGTTTGCTCCAGCTAATTTTTCTTCTTTCTAACGGCACATTAATCCATCTCATTTAAACATGGAATTTAAGCGGACGTTTATTCGGCTTGTCCGCCGGAAGAAAAATGTAACGAGACTCCTGTGGTACGTGTCATACGCATCGTGTATTCTTTACAAGTACATACGAACGAATACGGGATGTATGATAGGGGAACCCAAGCTATTTAGTGGGAGTATATTAAAAATGAATGGTTGATAATAAATTATTACCGAACAACATTTTTTTTTAACGTTAACGTTAAACATTTAGCTATTACGATTATAATGAAAACGAGTTTATAACTTTAGCTCTAGGCTCTTGTAAAATGAAGAAAATGAATGATGGTTGGAAAAATACTCGTCTAAAGTCTTATGCATTTCCTCGATCAGATTTGCGGGGCTTGGCTTCGCGTTTGTCAGCTAAGTATTTCCAGTTCAAATCCGCATATAATCAGTTTTTTTTTACACGAACGAATTCATTTAACAAGTATTTCGTTGGCTATGATGTAAGGATGGTTTTGTTTCGCGTAAATATGAATCTCTACATATTTCAGAACAATCAATTCAGTTTGTGTCCACCTGCCACCAGTCGAAAATCAACTAGTTATTATACTACAGCGTAGTTAGTAGTAAAATTTTTTTTTGTTCCTGTAGCGTAGTTTCGTGCATCCTAGAGTTTCATCATCAATGGCGAATAACATTACTGGCGTCCAGTACCGAATGCTTGCTTTGATTGTCTGACCTTCATTTTTGCTTCTGACGAAACCCTTTCAGGCCACAGATTTTCAATGCGTTTGCTGCTTTTTTATTCTGTTATTCAGTCATTCGACCTGGCATAGAGCGAATATCGTTGTATGGGGCTTTCTGAAATAGAACTTGTTATCCGTTCTAGCTCAAAATAACTATGGGTCAATCGCGAGGCTCAGATACTTACCTAATGCTCAAAATCAGCGTCTGCTACGTAAAATTGCCACCAGTAAACCGACAATGAACAGCCATAAGAGGTGCTTCTGATAGAATTAAGAGGTTACATCGGTTTAACGTAAAATTAAATGTGACCGGAACAAAGAACAATTATTGTTAAAATATACTAATAGTTAGGTGGGGTGTCAATTTAGTGAGCACCGATACTTTTTAGTAAAAGCAATTGTACCCGAACTTTATTAGTTATTATTATTATTATATAGTAATTATTAGTTATTATAAACTGGTGCGGTTCTATTGACAAACTAATAATAATAAATATAAATATATGATTATTCTAAATTCAGATTTCAAGGAACGACTCTATTATGATGGACTGTCATTTGATTACCGAAGCTAAGAAAAGGTAAAATTCAGGGTAAAAACACATTTCTCATAATAAAGTGGACAAATTTTTATTGTACGCTACTTCTTTCTCACTACACAGTAAAATTATCATAGAGAGGTACGTGCTTCGATGGCTTTGACTTTAATAACGAGTAAATGCATCTGGTTAATTTTCCCAAAGTACACAATGGCCTCATTTTCAAAGCCGCCTTCCGACGAAGCCATAAACGATTCTCCGCAAATAGTCATCCATGTGTAGGATTTATCTCGTACCAAAGGAAGAGCCTAGTTAAATATAAGGAGATTAGAGAATGCAATAGTCTTTGTTTACACTAATTTTAACTTTTCCGAATGCACAATATAGCTAAGAAAAACACTATTGTCGTCTGCGTTCGGTATTAGAAAAGCTTCAAGAGCAAACATCGAGAATGACAACAATTACAAATTTGATTGACTTGGCATAACTTCGAACTGTATTGATTCTCAATCGACTTCAATAATTGATGCTATGTATAATGAGGAGAGATTGAGACAACGATCTGCTTTGCTTAGAGCCAACAATATACACACGTATGCCCGCTTCTTGAAAGATAGGCTACAAGCTGTCCACAACAAATTAATGAAAGTAACATTCTCTCTCGAAAGGCTTATCGGAAACTGTTCCAAATTTTAAAGGATTCTGTCGTTGTAAGGTTGTAAAAAAGCATTTTATATTTAATAGACGAATCAATCGTGTGGGCAGGCTTTATTGCATCCTCTAATCAGCCGCAGGAGGAACAGCTCAATCATTCAGTAAATTGCAAGTGCAAAACACCTGACTTTCGATAAACTTCTTACTGCCCTAATGCCGTAAGCAGGATGATACTACTACCATCAGAAAGCATCTGCTAAGTTCTCAGGCGATGCTATCACCACAGCCTACTATGCATATATTAAGCAGGAGTCAATTTTGACTTTTTTTTTTCGAAAGTAAATTATTTGACAGAATTTTATTTACTGCGAAAAAACATAAGAGATATTCAAATAATCGAAAGATTCGAATAAATGCATTTGACTCAGGCTACTTGCCTTTGAGACGGCCGTAGCCATTTTAGCGGCTCTGTGTGAATAGTGTTTTCGTATGATGTCGTCGATGAGGTTTCTATGCAAGGGGAAGCCATACATGATTGGATGCTCACGATATATATTGATATTTTCCCATTCTGGAGGACGAGCGCTAGGATGAAAGGAAAAATTAACCACTTTGCGAAAATACTCTACTTCAAACGCAGGTCCGCACATTTACCACGGACGTGGTCGATGGCTAGGACAGATGTACATAGTTGTTAATCATGGATGAGCCGTCGCAGATAACGCGCAGATTCTATGTAAATATGTTCCTTTTCTTTTTCAACAGTAAGCTAAATTCGGCGGCATTGATACATAAACTGCAATTTCAACTTCACCTATCGTACCCGTCTATTTTACCGAAAATCTAATACAAGGGTAAGAAATATTTGTAACTAACGTCAAGCCGTGGCCTGTGCGATACAAATGATGACCAGCCCACAGTACTGGCAGTATAGCCTAGACAATTATGCGTTGAATAACGGCAGATGTCCAATCAGAAGATCATGACATCCATAGTACTAATACCTTTTTCGAGCGCATATATATTATTGAACTTACGTGACGATACCACCAGTAGCGTTTAATTTGTAAATCAATAACTGTTGGTTACACGGGTATGTCGCTTTGTACACGAGCATAGCCTTTCCGCATTCGGCAACTATTCCATAGGCGACAAGCCAACTAACTTGGTCGTTTTTTTTCTTGGCTACAGCCTGAACGTTGCGACACAAGCCCTTCCAGTTTTCAACGGCAAGGATCTCTTGAGTTGTCACTTGCTGTATTTCTCGAACCTCCATTGGGCTGAAGCACAAATTCAAATCCTCCTCTACATTTTGCCAACGGCTAACTTCCATTTAAACCCCACCGATTTCGTTTTACTTCAGTACATATGAAATCTTTCTAACTGCTATTGTTGACTGGCAGTGAGTAGCCAAAACATCTTTGTAACGTGAACATAACGATTTGTTTTGCTGGTCGTCCGCGATAGGTAGCGCTCTGATATTGTGACGTTCAACATTCAATATAAGAGATGTGTAAGTGAGTGGATTCTGAATAGCGACCTCGCTAGTTAGTCTCCTAGTACACGCTCTAATACGATAGATAAAATCCTATCTATGTGAAACTGAAACTGTCAACAAACAAACTATTGCGCAAGATATTACCCGCTGTCAGCATTTCTATTGGAGCTATATCGACTAGCTGTTTGTACAGTTGACTAGAAGAAGTTAAAAATATTGAGGTTGTACGCGTCAGGTCGTTGTGATGGAATAGCTTTAAACCTGTCTGGAAGTTGACACAGCAGTCCTAAACCTATAGAAGAACCTAAGCATATGAATTAGTTAGAAAATGTTTAACTCTTAAAATTTCCATTGAATTATATGAATATTTTGTTCGCGTTCACATAAATACAGCTTCAACGTAACTGTTGACCCTGTATCATAAGTGCAGTATATCGTGGATTAGTTACGGTAGACAAAAAATTAGTTTTGTTTTTATGACGAATTCACTTACCAACGATGATAGCACGTGTTTGGGCGTCGTAATACACATTCCAGCGTTTCCGTTGAGCTATGATGTCGTCACAGCATATTTATTCGCTTTTTTATCGCGCTTTCCTAGAGTCAGTCAAATAGACGGGCCTTACACGGCGTAACATAGGATCTGATACACAGAACTACCTATTGAGCCAATCTTATCCGACAGGAAATTGTTCCTGATAGGTTCGCGAGCGGCCGCGATTCTGGGAAGGGAATCCCACATAGCCCTAAACGCTGTGGCATTGTGTAACGATCACAGATCCCTGTGCTCAGACTGCCATGTCGCTAAGGAAAGAACTTTGTGGTCGACTGCTAAAAGTCAAAATGATGCCAGCCATTTCTTTTAACTTTACCCGTCAGAGAAGTTGAAAACTCTTTGAAGTGTAACAACGAATATTGAAATCGCAATGTTAAAGAGGACGTTCTGTCGGGTGCCTTCCATTTCGTGTGGTTGGGGTTTGGGGCTTATATTGTCAGCGTATTGAACATTCGTGTACGGGAAATCCGTCGAGTCAAATTGATGCGTTAACAAATTCATCGATGCGGGAGTCCAGACAATGAAATTTACTCAAGAACTCAACGAAGAGCTTAATTTGCGTAAGCTCGAAAAATTTCGCTGCAATCTTAAATCGTTGTTTCGTGAATGACAAAGGAGTATATAGCGGCAACATGAATTCTGCACAGCAGAATTTCGGGTCCTAATTCCGAATGACATACACATGAATCGATGGGGTTTGAGACACGAAGAACCGACAAGACTGGTTCATTTACCCAGCCCCTTACTCCCTTTTAAATAGGAGCAACACCGTCATAGTCGAAGCAAAACATTTATTATGGACGTTTATGAGATATGTGTGTTTGTGATGGTTTAAGCTTGCATACATCTTAATGTCATTCGATAGCAGATGTCAGTTTGCCATTAAGATGTGCCCCAATTGGCCACCTGTCAGACGTTCCATTACTTTTGATCGGTTCTTTGCCAAAGCCGTAGTAGCATCACCTTTGAAATAAGTCACTCACTCATTCTTACCATGAGACTAGATAGGAAAGAGATTCTTTTTGACTTCTTCAATTTTAAGTTAGACAAGGTACGAAATCGTTAGCTGCTATGTGCCAGCCTATTTTAGGAAACTTAGTTATTTTAGTATGAACGGGTCACCTTCAGAAGTCTTCATTTTAATGAAAGTATATAGGTTGTTGCTTGGTGTTTTAAAATACGGCAGCTGATTTTTCAAGGAAGTAGAAGCATGCAAAAAGCAGCACCAAGAAATTTTACTTAACTTGTAGTTTTTTATTAACGTCCCAGAGATGATGCAACTCTTAATTAAGGAGCCATAATTCAGAACTTATAAATATACAGGTATCCTGGAACTTATACCAAATCACTGGGTATAAAGAATGTTATTATCGGTATCGATTACGTATAAGAATTGACGGTGGCTATCTTGAATATTTGTTGCGATGTTATCTCGCAAGTATACTAAAACATCGAATATCTTGACAAAGTATTCAATTATGCCGTGTACAACAAATAGTGTATTCCATTTTTATACGAGTAAACTACGTTTAGGTGTTTCACATCTAATCTGTCCTTCAGTGGTACCAAACGAGAATGCTGAGTCTTGGCCTTAAACGGATATTTCTAAATGTAAAATTAGGTTGAAGATATAAGGTTTTTGGGCATTTCTATTTTAAAGGTAAAAACTCAAACGTGATCCATCTGAAATCGTTTTTATTTGGTTTATTATTTCTCTTTCTATTTAGCTGACTCAAATAAGTACTGAAGAAAAAAATCGAGTCTTCTATACAAGTTTGTGCTCACCCTTTGTCAGTCGGATTCGCGCACGTCCTCGAAACCAATCAAGCGATGCTTTGGCGCCCATAATATCATCAAGAGGAACGTTTTTCCGTTTTATCCTATAACTTATTTGCTACGGGTTTCTCAACATCCTATATAATGCACACCTTACCTACGGATAAGATAGCTTTATATTGATTCTATTTTCCGATATTTTTCTTTTATTTACTGTTTAGCAAATTGGCACATTTTTATTTACAATAATGTTATATACAGTAGAAGGCTACACACGCTTCCATTTCGTCGTTCAATGACACGTATGGTCGTTATTGTTGTATGAAAAACAGTCGTCCCAAAATATTTTCTGGTCATTATTAATTGCTACGTTTTCCTTGTTCTTCGATCGCGTGACCAAACACACCCATCCATTTCTTGCACACACGACCTGCATCGTAAATGTAGGGGATCTTTGATTTCCTCATGAAACAGGGGAAATGCTTAGACGAGTTCGATTGTCAGACGTGCAGCCCATAAACACGCCACAAACAACTCGATCGCAGCAAAGGCTAATAGTATCTTAATAGCGACCTTGGTACTCTATCGTAGCATTGCTAATCGGACTATGGCGTTATTTTGTACCACTAGAGAAAAGCGTTTATAATGGGAAAGTGTATCCAAGTGCAGAAAAGAGGACTGTGGTCAATGTCCTAAACAAGCGCCTACATCGTTAAAACATCCTAGATACTAGACGACTAGATTGAACTTGGTTGGATTTGAAGAATGAAAATATCATACTGGTAAAAATAGTTCGCTGAACTTCAAACGGCATACGATATATAGGGTTAAATATCTGTACATATTTGATAATAACAAAACGCAACAAATAGGCGCAATGCTCAGCAAAAATCTATGTGCCTAAGCACAATGTCTTGAAGCTCTACTACAAGTTGCCTAAGCACAACTCTCAATAGCGGCGATGTAAAGTTCTTTCACAGCCAATATGGCTCGAGCATGCCTAAAATATACATGCCAATACATGCCAATATTGTACAAACATGCCTACAAGATTGGTTTTATCTTAGGGGCAAAATCATAAACGGGTTTATCCGTTCCCATCAGCGAAGCACTTGTATTTATAGATATTAAATTAGTATATTAGATGCGGTCAGCTTTCTCCTTAAACCAGAACGACCTGTGGTTGAATTTAGGCGAACAACGTCCCTACAAATACGATGTCATGAAACCGCTGAAAGTGGAGTCCTCAAGAACGCGAACAACTGCACCCCAAGCCTTGTTGACGACAAATAAAGACACGCTTTGTCCTGCTGTCAGGTGAATTGGTCCTCCAAGGGCTAACGTGAAGGTGCCGCTGTGGTTAATGCTCCGCATTGCACTAAGCGCACTGTGAAATCACGCCGTGCAAAAGGACATCGCAATATTAATAAGAATAAGAGCTGATCGAAGCCAAATATTTTAGCTGGAAAATAATTACGTTTTTTGAGTTCATAAAACACTCGGATAATGCAACACAAACTTTACGCGATATCAGCAGTTCTTGTTAAAATATATGACCTTGAAGTAAGAAGATTGACTATGAATTTATTATCTCAAGGTGGCAATAAACCTCTAGTTTCTAGAGCAGTACAACGCAGCTTAGCTATGGTTTCACTAATGGGCTTCCATATATAGCTATATATATATATATAATTAACCCAGAATTGGAGCAAGAACGCCGATTGGCGTGATGTATCTGATGGTGAAACTGAAGAAAAGGTGAGAAGTAGAATCCGTGCCTGTCTAGTAGAAAATTTCGAATATATACATGTGATTATAACACAACATAAACTTCTATAATATACCAGAAGTAGAACTTACAAGTTGGCAGTACAGTTAGCATCGATGCACAGCTTAAGGGCTACCGAACCGTCAGAGTAATGCACGGTGCCACCCGCGTTCGCATTGGGTGCCCTAGCGCTCCCGCCAAACGTAACGTTGAAGTGGATTTGAGCATTGAATACGTAGACTCCTCCGGCCGGAGCTGTGAAGCGACCTTGATCCGCACGAAGACCGTCACCTCGCTCGAACGCACCCACAATATAAGGTCGATAGAAAGCATGCAATTCGGCCTCGCGCTGTCGCCGAACCTTAAGCGCGTGCGCAAGTCGCCAGGTGAACGCCGACTGCGTCTCCGGAACAAGAACGGCTCGTTCAAACTCGAACAACGGCGAACCTACTACCGGTGAAGTAGCCCCGTTGGGACTTTGGTCCGTACACTCGGGCCTCGTGGAGTTTGTACGGCACTGTTTGCATCAAACAGAGCAAATATGTAGCGGGATTTGAAGGACGCCAAGAAATCAAGGGGAGAGTACACAAAATGCGGAAACGCGGTTGAACAAGGGTTGCGCTCAAACTTGTAGCTATGTATTCCTAGCCTATATATATCTAATAAAAGTTATCTATGATTGTTCAATCACGCAATATTTCAGATACGCGCAAATGTGACAGTAGATGCAAGTAAGTAGTACTCCAAGGTGCTTTGTTAGAATACTAGTTAAGAGCTAGGATTCTCAAATAAGTGGTAAAGAGGTTCGACTTATCCACTTGTAAATGTTTTGCCGTATCAGACATACAATCCCATATGGAAATAGAGATAAAGAGCATACCATGTTTAACTAACTCACATCCATGATATTAATTTAAATAAAAAAGCATAAAACATTACAAAGAAATTAACCATGCTTTTACCCTATGTTTCAATTTTAAGGCGTCATTTCCTCTGTGCACGAATCAATCATTCAGAGGTATTTATAGTGTTGCGTTTCGACGCTACCCATGATTGACAGGTACCTCACTGCACTGTTGATTGCTTATTGTTGCCCCATATACGTTTGTACTAAAGACCATTGTCTTGAGCCATTATCTACGCCGTCAGCCCTTCCCCTCCTTTTCAGCCGTTGTTGCAGGAACTTTTGCTTCATGATATTGGGCTATCATAGGAACACTTGAAGGCGGGGATCGTACTTGTTAGGAAAATACAATCCTCGTCCTCAAGTTTTAGTAGAAAACCAATGTATCCTCTAACGGGAGCTTTAAAGCTGACAACAACAGGTTGCAGCCCAGTTTTGTTTATCGGCTCATGGCAATGCAGCGCTACAGGTGTGTCATTAGGCCATGTATCTTTGCCTGCATGTGTGACGTTGTATGCAATGAAAGCCTGCTCCATTCTTAATCGAAGCGACCATGCGCGGCAGGCGGCGCTTTTTGCTCTCTCTCTTTTTTTGCTCCTTTGCGCTTGTAGTTATGTTTGTTAGAAGACCCGCATCGACGAAACTATGGTGAGGATCGTTCGGACGCGAGCAGAGCATCGATAGGTAACGAACATCCACAAAAGACTGTAGCGCTAGCTACGTGAAGTTATTCGGGACTTTAGGAGCTCGGGGGTGCGCGGACCGCGGGACGACAGCTGGGCGAGCAGTCCTCTGCTGGCTCATCTTTGCGATGACACAGGTGCGGCTGCACAGAAGCGACGAAGAGCGCATAGATAGGCACTGATGCCGCACACTCATATAACAGCTTCGTGAGCAGGTCATCGTTACCTCCACACTTTATTCTTATTGCGTTCTGTTCGACTACTGTGTGTTTATCGTTTCGGCTGAAGGTAACAATCGAAAGAAGAATATATAGGTCTTATGACTTTTGTTTCCCGCTCGTTCAAGCTGTTTCTTCTATATATCTATTTTCAGTCTGTTCTCATTGCCTTTTCTATGCGTCAAAACAAAGTCCTCCAGAACTGCTCCTGTATCAGCCAACTAATCTGAGCGTATGTTCAGTTTGACTCATTAAGTTGCATGCGCGCATGCATGTGCACACTGGGTAGGTGACGAGAACCGGTAGCTGCACCACCACCATTGTCACGGCTATTTTTGCATAACGAGTGCCGAGACTATGGTGGAGCACTTCAGCGCCGATCACCAAAAGGCGAAAGCGAAAATAAGTTCGAGTCGCTAAAATGCCAAATAAAGATTTGTACAGAAGCAGCAAAACGACCAAAGGCCTCGTTCCAAACGACTGGCCCTGGTCAAACAGATAGGCGCTAATATTTTTCAGAATTAACTTTGTTTCAAAGTCCCCTACGTTCTTTTTTGTTGATATCGTCCGTTTTAAATTGACCTCGCGTTTAAATTGTTGCTTATTTTTGTTGTGTATATATATATATATATATATATATATGTTACTTATGAATTAAATATAGAATATTTTGAGAATGACTGGTTATTGATGCAGTGACAAATTAAGCGTGTGATCGCGGTGGATGGTGGTCATACTCGCCGCTTAGAATGACGCTTCTAGCATCTGGAAATTTTTTTTTAATAGACGTATAGTCTTAGAAACGAAGCATGAGAAAGATCGTGTCGCCGCATACTTCTTTGACTTATAGCCAAACGTACTATAATTACCATTGCTATAAGGTTATGTAAATGTATCATAAATTCGTAAGAAACATAATCATTCGTTGTCAGTGTCAACGGTTTCAAAATTTGTCTCCACAGTACGGCAGGCTGATAATCCCATTTGAAATAGGTGAGATTTTTTTTATTCTATACGACCGTTTGTGTAATGTATTGTTTATCTAGGAGTACACCTTGGTTTCAATTGGTTACGTCCTTCTCGTAGTGGGCTTCAACTGCCGTTTCTATTTTTTACCTACGTATTTAGCATTAAGGAGTCTTACCATATGATTTTTTTGAAGATGTCTATCCGCGGCCTCCTTGATGAGATCCCTCATGTGTTGAATCATCTGTTCACGAGTCATTCCACTATTAAACGGGTTTGCGTCAGGTCTAGGGGGCAATTCGATTTCTTCAGCTTGGCCATGCTGTGTAATTCATAGCATAGTTCGCAAATTTTAATAACGGAAAGATATATAAATACATAGAATAACTTGATTATTTACACACAATAATTATTGATATATATTTCAAATTCATATCTAATCGTACCAGTTACTTGAGTTGTATTTAATGAGACCGAATAGCCTTAAAGTAACATTTTCGTATTGATTATAGAGGTAAGCAAAATGAGGTTCGCACACAATGATATGCTTCAGTAGTTACGCCAAAGCTGATAAAAAAAAAAGACAGTCCATTTTGAAGCCCATTATAACCCGCATATAGTATGGGGCCACCAGTTGCTGGTATACGCTCTGCGGAAGCCTTCACGTTTTGGGGGCTACGTTAATTAAATCAAACGATAGTGATCAAAAAAGCTTGTATACAAAATGTGCTGTCGGCAAGGGATCGAACCGTGGTTACTCCCAGGATACGCGTGTACCACCGAAACATTGTCTTGGGTTAGGGACTTGGTGAGATACGACATTAAACACTGATAGGCAAAAATAAGGAGAACTTCTTTGAAACGCTTAATCGGTGTTCATACCAAGGATTAAATAAACGGTAACAATCAACTCTATTCTAATAAACATTTCCGCGCAGTAATCAGTGAAGGTGACGATCAAGTTCACAAATCCTTTACAATTGCCTACAAACTTCATGCCCCATCATCCCATGTTTTTTTACTACCTAAACAGAGAGGAAACCGTTGCCGAGATGTATAAAGACGAACCATTCGAAGATGCGCTGCGTTCACTTTCTTATGGGCAGTTGCTTTTTTGTTACGTTGTTTTTCTCGTTCTTGCTGGCGTTCGGTGTGCCGCAGGAAAGCTTGCCATGTTTTTCGCGGATCGAGGACAACACCCAGACGCCGTTTGTGCTTCCCGCTCGAACCCTGTCGTCTGGCGATTCGTTTGTGAGCGCTGGCCGCCAGATGCTCATCCCATTGGCGCTCTTCCTCAGCCAGTTTAAGTTTTTCAATAGACTCCATTCCGTCATAATTTCCGTGATCCCCTTCAACTAGAAGGTCTGCCGAAGTTGAACTAGTCATAATTATAGTCTCGGGTTTTATTGTTGTACTCCGCTCAAGCTGTCGTTGTCCGGCAGCTGAACGACTGATCGCTCCTTGGTTCAATTGTTGTTGTCTTCCTTCCTGAAGTAGAATTGCTTGTTGGTGCGTCTGTTCCGCGGGAGCCGTTGCCTTTAACATTGACGGTTGGACGTTGCGGTATCCAAGTGCCTCAAGGGCACTTACTGCGTCAGAGTTCGAAGAAGCTTCTACGAATGCTGCCTGCCAGCCGTCTGGGGGAACTAATAGCAGGGCCACGAGAGCCGTAAGCGAGCACACTAAACATGTGATGGCCATAGCCAGGCAGGTAGAATGGCGCGCAGTGCCCGGATCGGTAAATTTGCCTGGCACGGGCTTCAGGCCCTTCTCGGGATCCGTGGCGAATAGTTGGCGGGGGCGATTCCGCCGCCGCCGCCGCCGCCGCCGCCGCCGCCGCCGCCGCCGCCGCCGCGAGCAAGGAGTATTAGATCACAACTCAGTCACAGGCATGAGTTCAAACTCGGTCGTCACATTTAAACACTGCACACACACACATCGCAGATACCAACCAGGAAATAGATTTGTGTTTATTGGCTACAATGTAGGCGATGCAAGTCTGATCAGCAGGTAGGGTGGACAGGCTCTATAATACACAACAATTTGAGCTAGAACGCGTTGTGTATAGCATTACACATCCATTTACTAATAACGGTAGAGAGATCACTTCCAGCCAAACGTGGCCTAACGCTCTAAGTTGTGCTCCGTCGAAGGGAGGAACTTGTTTGGTTTGCAGCAGCTATGACGAAAAATCGTTTGCCTCTGAATTCTCGATCTGCACTCTACCACGGATGCGCACCGAATGGGTGGATTCGCCTGCTGATGGCGGGCTTTAATCACCTCTGTCGCTGAAAGCTCCCGACCCTTTGCCGCTGCTACTGCCTGTGCTAAAGGACGCTGCGCGATTGTGCGTTCGATCCTGCGAAATGGGAGGAGCACATGCACCTGAGCCTCGCCTCGTCTCATCTAGCCTTCGGTTGCCTGAGCTTCCTAGGCAGTTGTAGCGCCTCGATTGCCCCTATCGGCTTTTGCCCCAGCATGACCCCAGCCCATTCACCTCTGCTAGCTTTCCTCCCTCTAACGTAGCCTCCAGCACACCCTCACACTGCACCGGCTTAGCTGCGACCCATCCTTCGATGACGCGGTCGGCGAGTCACAGCAAACGTAGTGGCTCTTTAGCACGGCAACAGCTACCGAAGTAAAACCGGCCGCCTGATGAAATACGGCATAGATCGTCGTTTGGTTCGTTGCTATCGAACGCGCGCTTAAGACGGATCAAGAATCAACATTATCAGCGACAGCAGGTACGGGAGCAAGCAGAACTGAAGTGTACCGTACCGTACCGTCCCTATAGGAAGACCCTGTGCCTCACTTAAACGATTGAAGTACGTCAATGTGCAAGGAACAGCTCGTGATAAAAGCAGCAATTCCAGTCAGAGCCGATGGGTAGCAAGCAGAAGGTGGTCGACACAGGGCTGCGACGATGCACCTGTGTGTACCATTGGAGAGAGTAACAGCTGCTGAAATGAGGAAACGTCGACCCCCCTTAGGTTTTCGGTATCAGCGCTACCGCTGCTGCGGTTACCCTGTAAACAATCCGTACTGAGTCTGTGCAACCTCAGCGCACAGGCCTGTGCCTGTGCTTATTTGTATGTTCTGGCGCAAACAGTAAGCACCATTGCGGTATTTTCGGCATCGCTTCTGTAGATTCGTTGCACCGAGGTCTGAGCGGGCCCATCTCGTCTTAGTGGCTTCAAGTAGCACTGTCTAAATGGCAGGAGCCAAATGCAGGCAGTGACGCTATCCGTACCGCAGTTGACGTATCAGTCGATAGCAGATATATGGAACATGGGCGGCTATACAAATGCGCAAGTGAAATGTGAATCAAGGAGAAACAGCGAGCAAGACAAAAAGAGTTACTGAGCGAATCAGGAAAGCTTTGAATCTCACAAATCAGCTACCGGCCGAAACAGAAGACTCGGTAGTATTCAAGGTTTAATAGAATAACGCTTGTAATTGAACATAAATTGAATAAACAGAAGCTTCGCTTGCAGCAGTAATGGCCTTAATAGCAGGTTAACGAAAAAGAAAAAAAAACTCATTAATGTCGCAGTAGCAACCTGCCACGCATTCCGAAGGCTGGTTGACCCAGGTGCTAGGATCGAGTATATTGCGGCGGCCGTTTTTCATCTCGGTACCCTAAGTAATTCCACTAGAACGGAATGCGGAGCGAAAACCACCGTCTGTCCGAAGTACGCTTCTTCAGCTTTCATAGTAAACTATAAGAGGAGTGCACAGGTGCACCCTAACACATAAACAACGACATCCGATCTTAGTTTGTGATAGTGGGCGTGGTAGTCAGCAATAATAGGCTCAAAAACTCAAATGCGTCCGCGAAGGGGAAGCCTTCGCCATTGACTTGAACGAAACGAAGCTGCGATATCTATAAACTCAAGTAATAGAACAAATTTTGTTATTAATTACCCTTATGGCTATGGTTATACGTTACTGTTCTATGATTATAATAATAATAGCATTTATTGTGGCATTTTGAGCTTTTATATTGCCATCTTTCCTACTTTATTCCATTGTTATAGATAGATGAAAAATCTACTATTCAAACATGAGCCTTTTGTGTACTTTTTGTCGATGTTTTTTGCCTTGATTAGTTGACCGAAGGCATGACGCTTAGCGATAGCATATCTATAACTAGCAATGGGAAATTTCAAATCAATGTCTTCAACGAGGCGCTTTTTTTCTCTACTAACTACTCGTGACTCCACCCTCGGTACGAGGCTTAGGGAAAAAGCGGACGCGAGGAATACTCGCCATGAGAAATGTCAGGGGCCTCAAACAGTCTAATATTCGTTGAAACTGTTTCATGGTCAGCAGCTATGCGCCTTCCTCATCATGCGAAGGTTCCTCACTTCCTCATTCAGCATTACGACAAAAAACAAAATGGGAAATTCCAGCAGTGCATTCCTGAGAGTGTTTTCTCGCTAATCCCCTTCAGCGCGTGCGTGGTCCGGACGCAGTACGTATAGACGTCAGCATAAAGATATACAAAAGCTTTTGCTTGTTTATTAACCGTAGACGAAGTATAAACAGAATCAAAGCGATTTATACTCTTGTGGAAGTCTTGGTCGTGTCTAATAGTCGTTTCTTCAACATAGTTACTCGTTTGTTGAAAATAACGGAATGTACAAACAACTGAGTAAATCTTTATCAATATGTGACAACGCCGCCTCTCATCTGGCGTCAGCATGAACACTTCTCTTGATAATGTTCTAGTCAAAGTAGGTATTAGAATAAACGTTTGCTCTTTGGTTGTATTTGCTCGAGGGTCATATATACGTGACCTTCGAACTGTTCCAGTTTGGAAAAGACTGGGAAAATGTTTGATAAATTTTTGCAGGTTTTCATCTTTATGTCCCGTCAATCGATGATTTCAAGTCTACCTTCTAATCGGCAGTTAATTATCAGGCTGTCTTCGATTGTGGTGTACAGGTCAGAGATAGGGTGTCCATGACCAGTTGGGCGTTTCTCCTTGTGTTGTTGTGCTGTGTAGAAAAATTGAAATATATTGTGTTCTTCAAGCTTGTCACGAATATGAAGCTCAATGTATATTCAATAAAATATTTTCATGAAGACATATTTCTTGCTAGCTGTCTAGTAGTGAAGAAAAACTGGAATCGCTTTAATCCGCATCGAAATTCTTTCTCTCGTAAATATCGAAGATGCAGGCAGTGCTTCGTTCTTATGACAATTGTCGTACCGTATTCGAACAAAAATATTGCCTTAAAATAGACATATTTTAATTCAGCGAACTCGTCAATAGTCGATACGGTGTTTTGGCCGAATTTTCGTTGTGAGGCCAGAGTTTACTGTTGACTGAATAGTCAAATTAAATTAAAAAAAAACTACCATTACCTGCTAAATCCGTATAGCGTGATACTGTATTTAATTGCACTCGTATCGTTCGTATTTACGCATTCTTCCTATATTTCCCCTGATGTTTTCGTAAATGTCCCTTTGTGATTTCCAATGACTCTATAGAAGCTTTGAAAGCGTTTGCTCGCTTGTTAGCTTAGCTGGTTTCGTCAATAAGAAACCCCCATAGGCATCTGCGGTCTTCGGCATACGCTTTCGAGCCTCGTTCAACACTCAGAAAGTAAACTCGCGTTAACAGAGGCCAATGGCTGTTTTCTTAATCTAACACGCCACGAGATGAGCAGATTTTCGAAGCGCCTCTTCGTTCTGTCTGACGCTCGATGCGCTTTTTACTTGACTCGGTGGTTCGGAGGCGAACGACATGCCGGACGGTCCCCGTGAGTAGGGTAAATAACAAGAAAAAATAGTCATTCTATTTGTTAATCCGTTTAGAGAGAGAGGCTGGTGGTGTCGGGGTCCTACGAGCAATGAGTTAGTGCTAGTTGTGTATTCTTCAGTGATACGTTGCGCACCAACTAGAAGACAGCTAAGTACGGAGACTTTGCTGGACGCGCATACGTTCAAAAAGATAATTAGATTCAACATAATCTTCAGTGCTAGGGGCAACTGCCATATGCGAAGTGCGGCCAATTTAGCCTATGGACGTTGGATCCACACACAGGCACCAATCCTTTTTTTCGGTTTTTTTTTTGCTATGAGACGGTTAAGCCGGGTAAGAACCTCGAATGAAGAGGCATTTTACGATGGCGTCAAGTTGAACAGTACAATACGGCATGGTAGGTCGTACGAGTTCACCCAGAGCGATGCGCAGCTAGGTCTTGATGGGAGCTCAATCAATTTCATCGGTTAACCTAAATAGGTCGAGGAAAGAACTGGACAGGGGCAAATCACAACGATTCGTAGGCAACGATGCTTAATCGTTATTGGTCATTGTCATTGGAATACAGCATAGAATCTCTCACAATTAGAGATTTGTATCTCCGAAACGGGTTTGTAGAGTGCACTACACGAGTCATTCCATAACTGTGTATGTAATTTGTTTTTTATACGGATATTTTTGACACTTTTTTTTAACTAAAACCTTGTCAAATAAAATGAAATAGTGTTACCGGATGGCAAAGGGCAACCGTTAGCACAAGAGGTGTCTGTACTTCGCCTATTGAACTTACACATTCTATACTTAGAAGATGTTGTTAGATAATGAATAGCCCGAACTATCAATATCGACAGTTATTGCAAAGAGTACAAGAGATACAATTCTTACTTGTTTATGGGACACACAGAATTTTGTTTCATGGAGTGTTTTCTGTCGAGCTTTTAAATATAGGCTGGGTATTTTCGTACAGATGACA